GTGTCACCTCCATAGCCAGTTGCTGCTTTGAATACGGGTGGCTAGGAGATGTTACCTACTTCGCCTGGTATACAGGAGGTCGTGGGTTCGATCACGACCTAGACGCCTGCTGCTGTATATTTGGAGTTTGCGTGTCTCTCTCCTCTTAGTCGCGCGGATCTTTTTCCGGGTTTTCCCTCCACATTTAGAAACGTGCGTTTAGAGTATCTGGCTGCTATACATTTCCACACGATTGGCAACTTCGTTGAGCTCGTATTTGTGTTCTGGTCGCTTCTGAAAAAGAGCTATATAGATCACCGAGGCTTACCTGGTAAAATATATTTTTTAAATAGTTTATAGTTTTATATATATGTGAACGACGTGTCCTATGCAAGACAGTTAACTGCTGGAATCCGTGCGTGCATTCAGTCCACTCTCTCGTATCATAATCAAGAGCCAGTGCATATACATACACACAGAGATGAGTTGGTGACGCTGCGTTGGCCGTGGTGCACAAAGCACAATTAACAGAAAATAACTAAACATGCTCCAAAGCAATGCCTTAAAAGACAAAACAAACACAGTTGGTAAAGTGTCGACCAAATCAATGGTCGATCCTTCTTCATAGCATATAGACCACGAACGAACATGAACCATTTATGTCCCATGAAGGGTCATTGTCCAAAACGTCGCCGAATATATAATTATTGTTATAGCAGTTGTTTTTATGATTTAAGGCAGTGTTGTTAAAACACGTCTACTGTACACACACTGTGATTTATATAGATATCCCACTGATTTATAATAACAGCTGATCGAATATTGGAAAATCGATGGCTCCGTATCTTACATAGGTGTGAGTGTTCAACAATCTAATTGCGTATATTGACATATATTTATAGGGGTATAATGTATCACTTTAGTAGGGACGTATAAATACAGGCGTGGATAGCCCGGAAGGTATACATAAAGACCCCCCTATAGCCTTAACAGACTGTTGGGAAAAGTGCTGTTTGCGAGTAGCACCTATGAAAGTCGGCCCGGCACACGAGGGGGTGGGTGGCCAACACCACGCCCGGCCGCCTTTGTCTCCCTAGTGGCGATGTTTACACACCGCACCAGGTACTCATTTGAGGCTGAGTCGACCTAGGGGAGACCCAGGACCGGTTGAGATAATCGTCTCTGGTGTTGGCCGTGAGCGGGAATCGAACTCGGGTCGCTGGGGTTCATGGTGCAGGGCGCTAACCGCTACACTCCCGCTCCCCGTATACACATACACACACACACGCATAGGTACGTACATATATAACATGCACACTTACGGCGTTGGGGCGTCAAGGCGTTCCATCAGCCTGCAGCCAAATCAAAGTCAATCTCAAGACTGCACCATCACCACCACCACCACCGAATGTGGACGCGCATCCGTCTCCGGCTGCGGTTTCTGCGTTAAAAAAAACCCCGGCATGCGACGAAGTCTCCCCGATCGTCACGAATGGATCGAAGGACGCTTTGCACGCCACCGCTTTAACTTGAGCACACGTGCCGCCTCGCCATACGATCGCCGTAACTTCACTCGCCCGCGGCCCTGCCTCCATCTCTTGTGATGACAACCCTGGCTGGGCACCGCCAAAACCTACGAGTGATGTCGCGGATAGGGATAGCGTGGCAAGTAGTCAGGGAAAGCACTCCCCGTGGTCAATAACCTGTAGGATGCGTCTCTGTGTGTCTATGTTGTGTTTCTCTCTCTCTCTGTGTGTCTCTGTGTTGTCTTTCTCTCTGCTTGTGTGTCTCTGTGTGTCTATGTTGTGTGTCTCTCTCTGTGTGTCTCTGTGTTGTCTTTCTCTCTGCTTGTGTGTCTCTGTGTGTCTATGTTGTGTGTCTCTCTCTGTGTGTCTCTGTGTTGTCTTTCTCTCTGCTTGTGTGTCTCTGTGTGTCTATGTTGTGTGTCTCTCTCTGTGTGTCTCTGTGTTGTCTCTCTCTGCTTGTGTGTCTCTCTGTGTGTCTATGTTGTGTGTCTCTCTCTGTGTGTCTCTGTGTTGTCTCTCTCTGCTTGTGTGTCTGTCTGTGGGTCTATGTTGTGTGTGTCTCTCTCTCTGTGTGTCTCTGTGTTGTCTCTCTCTGCTTGTGTGTCTCTGTGGGTCTATGTTGTGTGTCTCTCTCTGTGTGTCTGTGTTGTCTCTCTCTCTGCTTGTGTGTCTGTCTGTGTGTCTATGTTGTGTCTCTCTCTGTGTCTCTGTGTTGTCTCTCTCTGCTTGTGTGTCTCTGTGTTGTCTATGTTGTGTGTCTCTGTGTTGTCTCTCTCTGCTTGTGTGTCTCTGTGTGTATATGTTGTGTGTCTCTCTCTGTGTGTATCTGTGTTGTCTCTCTCTTTGCTTGTGTCTGTATGTGTGTCTATGTTGTGTGTGTCTCTCTGTGTGTCTCTGTGTGTCTATGTTGTGTGTCTCTCTCTGTGTGTATCTGTGTTGTCTCTCTCTCTGCTTGTGTGTCTGTCTGTGTGTCTATGTTGTGTGTCTCTCTCTCTCTGTGTGTCTATGTTGTGTGTCTCTCTCTGCTTGTGTGTCTGTCTGTGTGTCTATGTTGTGTGTCTCTCTCTGTGTGTCTCTGTGTGTCATTGTTGTGTGTGTCTCTCTCTGTGTGTGTGTGTCTGTGTTGTCTCTCTTTCTGCTTGTGTGTCTGTCTGTGTGTGTCTCCGTGTCTGTGTTCTGTCTCTCTCTCAAACTTAGTTCTACCTGATGACGACTGCTTGTGTTGCAATCGAAACGTCGTATTCTATTATTTAATTTATTTTCTTTCTACGTGACTTTACCGAAAGAACCAAAGAGTAATTATTCCTGCAGTCACGAAAGCTTCGAATCAAGTTTGATGCGTCTGTCGTTTGACCAATCGGTCTACCAGACACGTGCTGCAAGCACGGGATGCTATTACTCGTTGGTTCTTTCGGAAAAGTCACGTAGAAAGAAAATAAAATAAATAATAGAATACGACGTTTCGATTGCAACACGAGCAGTCATCATCAGGTAGAACTAAATTTGAGAGCGAGAGACAAAACACAGACACGGAGACACACACACACAGACAGACGCCCAAGCAGAGAGAGACAACACAGACACGCAGAGAGAGACACACAACATAGACACACAGACAGACACACAAGCAGAGAGAGACAACACATACACACAGAGAGAGACACACAACATAGACACACAGACAGACACACAAGCAGAGAGAGACACACAACATAGACACACAGACACACAAGCAGAGAGAGACAACACATACACACAGAGAGAGACACACAACATAGACACACAGAGAGACACATAAGCAGAGAGAGACAACACAGACACAGAGAAAGAGAGACACACAACATAGACACACAGACAGACACACAGAGAGAGGCACAGAGACACACAACATAGACACACAGACAGACACACAAGCAGAGAGAGAGACAACACATACACACAGAGAGAGACACACAACATAGACACACAGAGAGACACACAAGCAGAGAGAGACAACACAGAGACACACAGAGAGAGACACACAACATAGACACACAGACAGACACACAGAGAGAGACAACACAGAGACACACAGAGAGAGACACACAACATAGACACACAGAGGATGCTATGCTATTGTTCGTAGGCTTTGAAATGGGACGTTCGATACGAACCTGGCATTGAGCACAGAGTGTGACCGCGTCCATCGACCTTGGCGTCACAATGCATGGCAGGCGAATTACTCGGTCCACTGATGATGGGGGCTCCTATATTAGTCGGTGTGTTTATCACGAAGCGTAAAGCGATGTAGAAGTTTAAGGACGTGTGACAGCGGTCAACTCTCCGGGCTGAATATTTCGGGAGCCTCGTTCACATTCTGAAAATTCGGAATGCGTAATAGGAGTATCGAGTCGACTGAACGTGTAAACAAATGTCACCATTGCAGTCGTCCATCTAGAACAGTGGTTCTTCACCTTTGGATGTACGCACCCCCTAGGGATGCGAGATATGGCCAGATTATTTTTAGAAGGTAAATCATCGAAAAGACAAAAGCACGGAGCAGGTAAGCACAATTACTTTGTTTTTTTCATCAAACCCTTTGTATTGATTAGCATTGTAATAATGTTTACGATTGAGAACCAAAGGGGTGCCAATGCTGCAGTGAAGGTGAAGACCCACTGCTCCCGAGCATCAACAGAATTCACATCGGTTACGAGCGTGCGTGTATGAGATAAGAATTGCCTTCGAAATGGTTTCAAGACGGGTTATGCGTTAACAGTGCACTGTTACCGACTCTAAAACATCAACATAGACGAATACAATTGCATTTAGACGCGTGGCTTTTACTAGCCCGCACTCACCGGCGTGGTGAAGTATGGTCAGACAACCGTCACGACCAACACGGCGTGGGAAGAGACCCTTTTCATCCAGCGGTGGATTGAAAACGTGCGGACTATAATAAGACAACACGTGCAGTCGGAACGACCGTCCGACCCCGTCCCGGTATCGTCGTATTCGTCGGTGTAAATTAGCGGATATTTAGACACATACGATACGTTTGTGATTTCTATTCGTTACGAAACGGTCATTGGTTTTCTAAAACAAAACAAAAAATAACAACAAAAACAAACGCAACGGTTTAACTTTGTAATTCACAACTATTGCTGGATGCTTCAGAGAGAGAGGGAAAAAAAAAACCCTTCGCGATCCAATTTTTTTCAAGTTGTATTAACAGAAACTGCTAAAAACAACTATTTTCCGTAAAAGTTACGCATTTCTTGGCAAGCAAAGATCGCGATGATAACGATCGTGAGCAACGTGATAAGTATGATGATGATGATGCTAATGATGATGTATACCATGCTCATAACGACACCGAACTATGACGATAGTAGCGATGACACACGTTATAACACAGCGCAAACTTCACACGCGCCTGCGGAACCACACGATAACGCACTGTCAAAACAAACGTGTGTACGGACATCGCACGGACGTAAATAACCATTCGCTTGAACTTTGGCTGGCGGAATATACTCCCAAGTTGAACTGCCGCTTCCGATTGGCCGGATGATTGCGTGAAATGAGCGTACGCACAATAGCTCGCCTCTGCATTCCCCTCCTCCTCCTCTCCTCCCATCCCGACCACCCTCCGCCTACAACATAGCAGCCCGGTCATTTGTATAAATTCCCAAACGTCATGGACATTGTTGGCTTCCATCGGAGAGAACGCAGCGCTCCGTGGCCGTCGATGCGACCGAGGAGGCGATTTTTATGATTTTTCTCTGAGTGCCTCTTCCTGCGGCAGAAGGTCAACCGAGCATGTGTCCGCGAACACGTGCCACCGATTCCGACCTGTGCAGTCGGCGCTCTCGTTTATGATCGACGCGTCCGGCTTTCTCCGCCTCGTTCGTGCTTCGTGCTCGTTCATCGCACCCGAGCGGAGAGAGCGAGAGAGGTGGCGAGTTGGGGGCGTGGGTGGTGGGGAAGCGGAGCGGTAGGAACGCGAAGGAATCGGCGGCTCAGCTGGGCTCGGCGCGTGTCGTCCGCGTGGTTTGTGACCGCCGCAGCATGAGTCTGGTGGGTGGCTACCCTCACCACCACCCGGTCATGTACGACCTCTACCCTTGCGTGGCGGCCGCCGGACGCCGCCACCACCACCACCACCATCATCATGACGAGAGCCTCTACCTCCGCGGCTGGGTGCTCGGGGGCGCGGCTGATATGGCAGCGGACTACGCCAGCGTGCCGTGCCACTACAACGGGCTCACCGCCGCCAGCTACCCCGGAGGAGTCCTCCGGGGTCCGGGGTCGATGCAGGTCTCTGAGGCGGCCGCCGTGCACGGAGGCAGCGGCGGCGGCGGCGGCGGCAGCGCGGGAGTCGGAGGAGGCGCGGGAGTCGGAGGAGGGGGCGGCGGAGGGGCCATCAACGGAGGTGCGGTCGCTACCACGGCCGCCGCCGCCGCCGCGGCCGCCGCGGCTGCTGCGTATTGCGGCGCCCTGCGGGGGCTGGGGGAGAGGGCGTGCGGCCGGAGGCTACGGCCACACTCGGCCGGGGTGGGACCGGGGCCGCCGCAGCCTCCGCGCAAGGAGCGGCGCCGCACCCAGAGCATCAACAGCGCGTTCGCGGAGCTGCGCGGCCACATTCCCAACGTGCCCGTGGACACGAAGCTGTCCAAGATCAAGACGCTGCGCCTCGCCACCAGCTACATCTCCTACCTGATGGACGTCCTGGATAAGGGCGACAGTGGTGGAGAGACGACGTCTGGATTCAGGGCCGATCTGGCGGACAGCGATGGCCGGTCGGAGCGCGCCGTCGACGGAACGGTATGGACGCACGCACGGCCGGGAGTAGCGCAGGCGCTGGGTTCGCGGGACTCGCGGCACGGGACTCGGGACTCGGTAGAAGTGGAAGATTTGAACTAGCTGAATGGCACCGAGCGCATGTAGCTGTGTGTAACAAGCAACTATCCGCGCAGCCATGCGAGCGTACAACTGCGTGATATAGAAGAGACCTGGGTTTACGTAATAGCACTGGGTTGCATGAATCGCACTGCAGCGATAATAGAACCGGGTACATCATGTGACTGGGAGGATAGAACTGGGTTCGTAATAGAACTGGATAGACGATGATCGAACTGTGTACATAATAGAAGAGGGGGAACATAGAACTCGATTCATATTAGAACTGGGGACAGAGAGCTGGTTCCATCTTCGACTGGGTGCATTAAACGTCGCAAGCGGTCAGTGTCTGTACACCTACGACTGTGGTTCGTTTGTTGGGCGATTCGACGCAAACAGGTCGTTACATTTGAGCGTATGCAGCGGTGGGGTAATCAGCCCCCCCCCCCCCCAAAATATATATATCTTGAAGTTGAATGCTTTTAAACAATAAGAGAGACTGCGTTTATAAGTGGTGCGTAAGCGCACATTAGACCACTCGGATACACGGTGCGCCGTCAACACTGCTTCAATATTAATATACACCAGTTCCACGTTTCGAGCAATGGACCTTCTGCAGGGCAGACACAGAAAGCGATCACGTCGCGTTGGTGCTTGCAACGAGTTCCAAACAGCGCAACAACAACAATCACGTCATTACCAAAAGTACATTGTGTCCAGTAGCACGACTGAACGCGCGAACTTGAACTATTGGACTTTGTTTAAAGAAGCCTGTAGCGTATACACTCGCACGGACCTCACTGTATACTTAGAACTTGATATCAATCTGTGCTTCAGCTGCGGGAAGAGTGAATATGTTTCACTGAAAGGAAGCAATCCAACGGTTTTTGGGCAAACGCCAGGCCAATTATTATCCAGGATGTGTGCCAACATTTTATCTTTATTGTAATCAAACAACACATTCTCGATTGCGCTTGTGTGTACGTGTGTGTCCTATCAGTTGGCGCCGAGTATGAACGGGGATAGGAATACATACGCAGGGAGACACGTGGACAGAACGCACACTCGTGAACCCTGAGGATATTACTCCAGATTAATTATTTTGCCTCAAACGTGAAATATTGCTCCGTAGTACAGTGCATCCCCTTATTTGGGGAGTGGGGAGTGCTGGTGGTGGTGGTGGTGGGAAAAAATGTGATAAATCAGTGCAATTTGTACAGATTTTTTTAGGCGGGGGGGGGGGGTGGTTAGTGGGCATATTTTTACCATTGAGTCAGCAGCGGTGCGGCCCTTGCACAAGTCTCACGTGACAACCACGAGAGGAATGCGACTTTGATAAGACGCATCGGTGTTATGCACGTGGGGATAGAGAGAGCGAGAGAGCCAGAGCGAACCACTACTTGCAGGGGTTCTTTCAAAACCTGACAGATCCTCCATCCCGTAAACATGTCCCACGATGGGAGTGAGGATTGCGATGGGAGTGAGGATTGCGTCGCAGGGTTTAGGGCCATGAGTCAGTTCGGCTGTCACTGTCGCCGCGTGCTAAAGCGACGGATGCATTGGACCTGCCAGGGGATTTAAATGCCCTCTTGTCGCACGAGTTGTAGTCACAAATAAAAAAAAGGAACATTCGCAGGCTCTTCTCCGCGTCGGCTCGCGGAGCTTTTAGAGGCACGCGCATTGACTATACCTTTAAAACTTTCAGTGGTGCGAAAATATGAAGATGTATAGTGTATACATATGTGCCAACGGTGTTTACATTTCAGTTTAAAGTTAGACTTTTGATGTGTTACACTCACAAGCGCGAGTTCACACACGTCATGCACATTCATCATCATCATCACCATAATAATCGTCTTAAAAATCATCACCAGCCATGGTCAGTCCACTGCTGGATGAAGGCCTCCCCAATCCGCCGCCGCCACCACCTCCTCTCGCGATTCTGCGATATAAGAATCCGCCTAGCACCCACAGACGAGCTGATTTCATCATCATCATCATCGTCTTCATCATCAAACATACAACAGAAATTACGTGGTGATGATGCTGCGTTGGCAGTGGTGCAGAAGCATAATTTGTTACAAACTTGTCAACAAATGCGTTCAATCTTAAGGCAGTGTTGTCGAGGAGCGTGTCGAGTTTATGTTTACATATTACAGAGATGAACGTGCAATTGTATGATACGTAGATGAATGCAACGCTTATTGTGCAGAAGCATAGACGTAAGTGAACTGTCACCGTTGATCTTGGACCACCCTATGCTGCCGCTATATTCATAAAATGCATTCTGATTGTATAACGCGCGTTAAACAGCGATACAACGAAGTGCGGTTCATCTTCTTTTACCTTGTGACTTAGTCCCTGCACGCGTGTCGATGCTAACCGTGACTAAGTGTACTTTGTGTTGTTGTTTGACTTTGCATTTCTGTTTGTTTCCTCTCCTCCTCCTCCTCCCCCGACCTCTTCGTAGAAGAGGCCATCTGTCCAAGTAGTCCCGATAACGCATGAACAACAAAAGGCATGTCCGCGCACTCCGTCCCGACACCCTTGCCCGTACAATAGGCCTGTGCACGTGTGTTTTTTTGTACATGGCACGAGGTTGCCGAGACATGCAGCGAGTCCATGGATATGTTGAATGAGCGTCAAATTAACTCTCCCCCCCCCCCCCTAATCTGTATATCTTATCACTTAATCATTTGCCGTAATTCTGTGGATTATAAGAGGCTCCGGAAAATAAGACGCACCCCAAGACACCTTTGCGCGGTGTCAATAAACGTATTCAAATCTGTTTTCACACAAACAGAGACAAAGATCCCCCGTATAGGCTTAGCATACTTTTGGGGCAAGTGCTGTTAGCGAGCACCTATGAAAGCCGGCACGGCGCACGAAGGGGTGGGTGGCCAGCACCACGCCCGGCCGCTTTTGTCTCCCCAGTGGCGATGTTTACACACCACACGAGGTATTCATTTTATGCTGAGTCGACCTAAGGGAGGCCCAGGACCGGTTCTGATCATCGCCACTGGTGTTGGCCGTGAGCGGGAATCGAACTCAGGTGGCGGGGTTCGCATGCTAACTGCTACACTACCGCTCCGCACACAAACACACTCCAGACCTTCCAGAACCTCCTACGTTTTTTTCAAAATGTAGGGATATAAAATATTTGCTTATTTTGAACTCTGAGAATACGGTATTGCTCATTACAATGCAATTGGCCAAACGTTGTAAATGCAGGACCCTCCTGAAATCGGAGTCTTGAGACTCGGCGAGGATTTTTGTTTATCGACACGTAAATAAATGTTCCATCATTTTAGTTTTAATGATATATTTCCGAATGGACTCTGCTCATAATCTACAAAAAGTCTAAATACTGTTCAAGTGTTTAGCATGTATACATTCTATACAAACTATATTTGCACGCTTCGGCATCGCCTGGTCTTCGTACCCTATACGCACCAAGTAAAAAGGCAAACAGTAATGAGAATTAGCTACTAAAAGTGTAACGATCTATTAACTGTATTTTTAAGGTAATTTATCAAAACGTTTTGTCGTGAAATGCATTAGCGTATCTTCGGAAAATTATGATTTTGAAACAGGCCTCAAATAATAGAACGGTCAGACATACATAATTTACCTTGAGTAATAATTGTTTATCTTGCCCAACCATCACAATTTAAAGTATAAAAGGAGTACAGCGAAAGATGTCTGCGCATTTATTGCAACCATATACAAGCTACGATGATTATTAAGCTGCCGCTCAAATCATCTACTGCTGGATGGAATGAAGGCTCCACACACTGCGTTAGTCAGGGGAGAGGGGGGGGGGGGTTGTTTTGACCATACTTCACCACGCTGGTCAGTGCAGCTTGGTGAAGGAGACACCCCAAGGACAGGTTCTGATATCACTCACCGCTGATGTTAGCCGTGGCCGGGAATAAAACTCGGCTACCGATTGTGCTAAGCACTGCACCACCGCTCCACCCCGTCGTTCGAATTCATGTCTTGTTAAATACACGACAACAACAACCGATCGCCGAGTAATTTGAACATTTATGCCCGATTAACTGGGGGGGGGGGGGGGGAGGGGGGGGGAGCCACTGCTGATGACAATGAACAGAGTTCACCAAAGGGCGCAACAAACCCCCTTGCTGCTGACATTTCCCCGCACCACCGATCAGCACGGCTGACTACGTACGGTGCGAAAGAAGTTTAAACGCACATACGTTACAGTGTAAGTCACCATTAATGTGGAGCGGTGGCGCAGTGGTTAGCGCGCTTGCGCTCTCGTTGAGTCGTCTCGTTACACTGGTTCCGAGTGCTGCTCACCCACCCACTGCATGCACCAGCTCCGCAACGGACCAGCGTGGTGAAGTATGGTCAAAACAACCCCCTCCTCATCCCCGCCATGAGCGACAAGGCGTGGAGAGGGTTTCCATCTAGCTGTGGATTGACAAAGCGTTGTGCATTTGTCCGAGATAATCTGCGCATTCGCAACGCGTAACGCGTGGTTGGGGGGGGGGGAGGGGGGGGCATGGCGCCCCCACGTTCAAGCACATGCATGGCATTATATCACAACACACTATTTACGCTCATTCTGACGTCGCTGAGTTCCACATTAACGAGACTCGTTCGTGCCGACGTGGCTCTACTCCGTAAACAAACACCAACGTCCACTTCGTACGGCCGCGCGCGTGTCCTCGTGCCGACATTGCAAGATGAGACCGAGCTCACGGTGCACCGTTTGACAACACAGCTATTGACGACGACGACGATGATGATGATGCTGCTGCTACATAACAGTGACAAACACGATGCTAACAACGCGTGAGAGACGAGCGCCGCTCGTAAAGAGAAAGGGACCACGGCACGAGCTGCAGATGCGTGTTGCGCCCTGCGCAAAAGCTAGCGCAGCGCAAGGGTTAAACGCCTCCTCTCTCATTTGCCGCTCCATTTTGTTTTCCTAGCATCGCTGCCCATTCACTCGGAGGTCGTCCCCCCCCCCCCAACCAACCAAACACCACCACCACCTATCCACCCACCCCGATAGAGGCCTCTCAGTGCGTCAGGGTCAAGGGCACACAGCGCTTACGCGGTGACCACGATGACAGAGACGCCCCCCCCCCCCTCCCATCCACCGACCCACCCTCTAAAGCATTCGCTGCTCACAATCCGGCCTCCTTATTCGAGTCCCCCGTGTGACGGTGGAGCGAAGTCGACCTCCACCGCCGCCGGCAGCCGCTCGAGCGCCGGCAAGTGCCGCTGCGTGCCACGAAGCGGCCGATGGAGAATTGGCCGCGCATAATGCGCCCCAGGCTGCACGTTGTTTCAGCCGATACATTAACTGATCGATCTACAATATTGTTGTTGTTGTTGTAGCTTGTAAATGTTGTGGATTGTAAATGTTGTGGCTTGGCTGTCCAACACACCGGTGTGCTGTACTAGTAATTAAGCGGCACGTTCTGTTTACGTGACACAACCTTACTAATCGGTTGTGTCGGGTGGTGGCGGCGGCTTTAACGACACGTACATTTACGCGATCTAACCCCCAAAAAACCTGTATTATGTTGTTGTTGTTTTGTATTGTTGGCATATCAGTCAACCCATACGGTTTACCCGTATTCTTGTACAGGGAATTTGAGTGTTCGGGTGCATACGGCGTAAGCCGTTTCTATAAGGGCTTTGTAAGGATGAACGTTGTTGAGGTTTGTAAGGGGCACGGTGTGACCAACACGGTCTCACTTGGTCTGTAATCAGGTAGAGGGCACTGGTAAGGGCTTGACAGGTTTGTATGGGCTTCCGCGTATATGCGGGTGTTGTCTTTATGCGAATGTCTACGTGAGTATACATGTGTGTGTTTTGTGTGTACACCGTATAATGTGTCCGCGTGTCGTGCCGTGCCGGCCTTCGTAGGTGCTATTCGTTAACTGCACTTGTCCCAACATTGTGTTGAAAGCTATACGGGGGGAGGGGGGGATCTTTTTGTCTGTATATTGTGTATGAATGTATGCTTGGGTGTGTATATATCTTTGTTTGCAAATGTTTGTGTGCATGTGTGTGAACCGATTCTGGGCCTCCCCGAGGTCAACTCAGCCTCAAATAAGTACCTGGTGCGGTATGTAGTAAACATCGCCACTAGGGAGACAAAGGCGGACGGGCGTGGTGCTGGCCACCCACCCCGTCGTGTGCCGTTCTGGCCTTCATAGGTGCTCGCTAACAGCACTTGCCCCAACAGTTTGTTACAGGCTATACGGGGGATCTTTGTCTATGTAATTTATTACTCGTGTTTATGTGTCCATGTATAAGAGTGCGGCGAGTGGTTGTGCAGTGGTTAGCGCTATGCTGCGCGAACGAACCTGGCGAAACGATTTCGGATTCCGCTCAAGGCCAACATCAGTGACTAATGTCTGGACCGGTCCTGGACCTTCTTTTGGTCGACTCAGCCTTTAACCGAGTACCCGGTGCGGGCAGTGAACATCAGCACTCGCTCACAGAACTTGCTCCAAAGGTCCATTAAAGGCTATATGGGGGATCCCATATATATGTATATGTTCGTATATATACACACACCCGGTTACTGGTACACACATCTATACACTAAGGCACCTAAACAGTTAACTTTTTTATTATTATATGTCAACAATTTTATGCAGTTGTGCGTATGTACATGAGTGTGTGGAGACCGTCTCACATCAGTGCGTCTGTGTACACGAGAACATCCTTAAATACGTGCATGCATGATATACTACACATTTCCTGTTGATGTCGGGTGCATCCTTGAGCCAGCGGCTGAAACTCAACATTCCTATGGCCAGCTATATCTACAAGACAACCGCAGCTGACTGCCAAAAATTGGTACTAAATGTATCGACCCCCCAACACCGATGGAGAATTGGCTGAGTCGACCACTTGGAATCTTTCAACTGTGTGCCGAGCGCTCCAACCACTCGACTAGCCCAACCAGAATAATCATTTAGTCATTCATCCAGCAGGGATTGGCAAAGGTGATGTAACACATCCACGTGTATACTCTATATCCCCACGCCACCCACAATGCACGTACACACGACTAGCACCCGTGGCATCTGTGTCATCATTGCCAGCTTTCTATTGCTAATTGCGCTTTCTGCTTGCGTGTTTAAGAACGGTGGCACGACGATTGACGCACACGAGTCAGGAATCCAGCACTGAGTTACATTCTTAAACCACGAAACGAGTACCTGGTGCGGTGTGTGAAAACGTGAGCACTTGGGGAGCCAAAGGCGGCCGGGCGTACGGGGTTACAGTATCACCTACCTTGTTGTGTGCCATAACTGCTCCAATAGTTGTTCGCTTACAGCTGGGATTTGACAATTGTAATTATACGTAATAAGTTAAAGCCCATTTGTCAATCCACTGCTGGATGAATGTCTCCCCACTCAATGTGAGTGTGCGGTTTGCCGAAGCGTGTTCTCAGACACCCCGTTCAGATATCGCGCTCGCCACAACTGACGATAGCCGAATGGCCGGGAATCGAACCCGTGTCCCGTTAAAGCCCATTTGTCAATCCACTGCTGGATGAATGTCTCCCCACTCAATGTGAGTGTGCGGTTTGCCGAAGCGTGTTCTCAGACACCACGTTCAGATATCGCGCTCGCCACAACTGACGATAGCCGAATGGCCGGGAATCGAACCCGTGTCCCGTTAAAGCCCATTTGTCAATCCACTGCTGGATGAATGTCTCCCCACTAAATGTGAGTGTGCGGTTTGCCGAAGCGTGTTCTCAGACACCACGTTCAGATATCGCGCTCGCCACAACTGACGATAGCCGAATGGCCGGGAATCGAACCCGTGTCCCGTTAAAGCCCATTTGTCAATCCACTGCTGGATGAATGTCTCCCCACTCAATGTGAGTGTGCGGTTTGCCGAAGCGTGTTCTCAGACACCACGTTCAGATATCGCGCTCGCCACAACTGACGATAGCCGAATGGCCGGGAATCGAACCCGTGTCCCGTCGTGCGGTTCGCCACCCGCCGATGCCACCACTGCGCGACAAGTTTACGTACAGTGTGTTGAACTTCTTTCGCACCGTACGTAGCCAACCGTGCTAATCGGAGATGCGGGGGGGAGGGTGGGAGGCAACAAGCTAAACGCAACATCCAGTTTTGAATAAATGTTTTTTTTTTCCAATCGATATGATTTAGAAGTGCATAGAGCTCCAGTAGCTTCCTGTTATCGGAAGGAAGAGCTTTCCAGACGGCTGTCAGGAGCACATCTGAAGGCGCGCGATGTGGTGGCCGTCTTTGTCCGATGGTTAATCTTAAAGCCGCTGCTGCGAGGACGTATGTTGGAGTTCTTTCGCGCCGTACGTGGCCTAACCGTGCTAATCAGAGGTTGCGATGACCGGAAGCCGCTTGCTTCGATTAAATCGATGGAGCGAAACGGATTATTGGGGAGCGTGGGTAGGCGGAGGGAGTGTGCGGCGTGTGTCTGTGTGCGCGTCTGGTGGGGACGTTAAACGTGAAGTGTCACACGTGTTGTCGTCTTGTTGTTGTCCTCGCCTCCGATCAGCGACCCAGTGGGAAGAAGAGCGCGACAGAGAAGAAGCGGGGACGGACTGGCTGGCCACAGCACGTTTGGGCTCAGGAGTTGAAGCGATGATGACGATGATGACGATGACCGGGGCCAACGTGTCTCTTGGTTGAACGCTGAGAAAACGCTCCGTTCAACAACAACAACAACCCAAAAAAAAACCCTAAGAAACCCCAAAAACTAAACTAAAAGCTGTGCACTGAACATCGCTTGAGTCGTCGTCGTCGTCGTCGGCACGGGGAATCGCCGCCGGTACGTCTTTGTCGGTCCTCTCGTAACTGCACAGTATTCTTGCTCGTGTTGTTATCATCATCATAATCATAACATTCGAGCGGTAATTCAATAGACCTGTGGTGCTGCGTCGTAATAATGTTACGTTGTGTGCCCGAACGTGGTATCGACGAGTGTTTTTTGGCCTACAGTGTAATATTGTATATAATTACGTGATGATGATGATAGTGGTGATTGTTTAGAATGATCACCAACATTGGAAGAGTGTTTTGTTGTTCTTGTTTTCAGTGGATTTATAAAAAGACAGAGTTGAGACAATGCAATCGACTGCCCCTTACAAATTGGATTTTTTTTTCTCCGAAGGATGCTAAAAAGAGATTTAGTTATTCTTTAAACGTGTTTCTATTTTGCATAACGTTCGTATCGATGCTACAGCTACAAACGATTCATATACTGAATATAGTATTATTTTTATGTTGACCATGATGATGAGAGTTGATGTTACACAGATGTCGCTATACGGAAATTTACATGCCAGAAGTGTTTTAATATGCATCAATGCAGTACACGAACCAATGCAGTATATAGTTTATTACATTGCAGTGCGATTCAATTGCAGACTCACGTGATAATGATGATGATGATGATCGTGATTATGCAATTGGCTGGAGAAAACGAAATTAATGTAAGAACGCAAGGCAAAATAACAAACATCTCATTTGTAGATAACTCCATATGCAGCGTGTGACTATGTTATTTTAATACCGTAAAACTCATTATGCAGCGATTGTGCGTTAGCAGTGGTGCACACGTAATAAGCATACACAACCCAACGCATGCGTCAATAATAATGTGGCCTTAAAAAAAAAATCTATATATAATATAAGCGGCGACGCTTCGGGCAATGATCCTTCTTCACAACACATAGCGAGGTATATTCCCACCTCTCTGGCCTCTCACTCGGCAACAGTTGTTGTTATTGTTATTTGTTATAGTAACACGGCGTCTCTACAATGACATCACGAAGGTGGCTATAGCGGCGCTTCGCGATGAACTTTTGCCCATGAAGTGGTAGCAGTCGTAGTACGATGCACCGACGACACGACTCGCGTCCTTATCGACGAAAGATCCAGACTCGTGCGGGTCAGCCCCTGGGCAACGCGCAGCCTGCAAGTCACATCGTACCACAACAATGAGAGACGTTCGATGTTTTTTTTTTAATTGAAAGGCGTCAATGTTGAATCAACGCGTCAATGTTGAATCAACGCAGTCGCCCGCAGCGCAACCAACACACTAACGGGCGCGTGGAGGTAGCATCCGCAACTCAGGGCTCTCGATCAGTCGCGAGTGTAACCTGCGGCCCCACGTCTTACGCGCGAGGCGTCACGGGCAAGTTGCGTACGCGCAACGCGCTCCTGATTCTCTCTCTCGTATCGAGCGTGAACTAAGAGCGCACGGAGACTAGCGACGGTGGCTGCGTGTGTCACCGATGTCAAATCTAACGATTCTCGAGACTGCAGGGGTTTACACAAAACTCGTTGCCTTCGCGGCCCACTTCGCGTTTACCCCCCCTCCCCCATTCGAGCACGCATTTACAAGTCGTTCCACGCTTGCACGCGCCCGATGATTGTTAAACGCTTCCCACGTGACGCTGCCTGCGTCGCGTGGAACACACACAGAGATCACGATCTCAATTTGAATCGGCCGTGGGTCTCAATTTGAAATCGGCTCTCTCACGGCCAGCACAAGTGACGATTATCTGAACTAGACACGGTCCCTCATAGGTAGACTCAGCATCAAATGAGTACCGTACTCTACTTACTGCGATGTCCAAACATTGTCGATGGGTAGACAAAGACGGCTGGGCGTGGTGCTGGCCACCCACCCCCTCGTGTGCCGTGCCGACCTTCATAGGTGCTCGCTAACAGCACTTGCCCCTACAGTCTGTTAAAGGCTACATGGGGGGGAGCTTTGTCTTTGTTTGTGTAGATGTGTTCCACGTGACGCAGATAGCGTTAATTGCTTATCAGGTCGCGTGGGGGCGTGTTTAGCAATCATCGGGCGCGTACAGCGTGGGACGACGGATTCAGGGGCGGAGCCAGGATTTTCAGGCCGGGGTGACATTCGACAATTTTTTTTTTCAAGAATGATTTAGAGAGTCAGGCTGTTGAACTTAGACGCCATCGGTTGGCGACACACTCTGACAACGCAGTTGCACGGAGTCCGCCAGACCGAGTGTCGTACACTTACACGCAGAATGTCACCCCTGTCACCCCCCCCCCCCCCCGGCTCCGCCCCTGGACGGATTGATTTTAATTTGAATGGGAGTCAATTGGTACGTAGGGCCGTGGTGGTGAGCTGGAGTTTGAGAAACCCTTCTTTGACGCTGACCATTTACCCATCATGAAAGGGCTAAACGAGCTGAAATCGTTTGCGCAGATCGTCGAGGTTATGCTGATAACTAGCAACATCTGGAAGTGGATTATTATTGTTAACCCTTAATTTAAGTTAGAATCGCTTTCAATTGTACGTCAAAAGTTGCACGTTGTTTTAAGTCTGGCGATAAGCAACACGCACACACACCAGCAGTGGACCGAGTACATTGTCCATCTCGTGGAGGGTGACGCTAGAGCCGACCGAAAGCCTTTGACGGGTTGTGTTTTTCCCCATTTGCTGTCAAGCGACTCACTAATTTGACGTTTCCTGCATCTAATGAGGGACACTTAATTGAGGTTGTAATTAATGGCAACTGTAAATCAGTCGCTGCAGCTCGCACCGTAGTAACACGGAGCCAGCGATGTGGAGACGAGTCGATGGCGACCACTTCCTCGAGACGACGTTTCGTGTTGTTTGTGGTTCTTACACCGTCGATTATATATATGTTATACACGACGGCGATAATAATAATAACACTTGTTATTATTTACATATTTTATCGCAGATGTGACGTGGGGAGGCCTTCATCCAGGAGTGAATTGACGATGGCCGATAATGATAATTACGAATAATTAGTCATGATAAACAATAGTCTATAAGGAGGGGTGGGGGAAGGGTGGGGGAGCGGTGGTGCAGTGATTAGCGCACTGCGTTATGAATCCGACCAACCAGAGTTCGATTCCCTGCCACGGCTGACAACAGCTGAGGAGTGATATTTAAACCCGTCCTGCATGTGTGTTGAACTTCTTTCGCACCGTACGTAGCCAAATGTGCTAATCGGAGGTGCGTTGACTTCGTCTAAACCTCCAACAAGACCGACAGTGTGGGGAGCGATTCCCAAGGCAATGTATTGGTAGCGATTCTAGATTTAAAGCTTTCGTGACTGCTAGGATCCATACTCTTTGGTTCTATTGGGTAAAGTCACGTGACTTTACCCAATAGAGCCAAAGAGTATTGGTAGCGAGCTGTAAATTAGAAAAAAATAGATATTAATTATTATGATTATATTCAATGCCGTTTATTGATCAGTAAAGCTTCACCGAGCCTCTATCGACTGTTTCAGGAAGGTTTTATTACATTGGCATGCTTGGCAAATTCCACGAATAATGAAGCAAGTTTCACATTTTCGATAAATAGAAGAGGCGAACTTTTTTTTTATTAAGAAAACCGCATCTATAAATAACAACGTTAGAAAATGTAATACCAAAGAGCTATTCATTGTTACACTATACACCATTTGTTTTTCATTACGTAACTAGCACGCACGGGGAGCGGAAGCTAATTGTGTGGACTGATATATATTTTACAATAATTAGCCTACTGAGCGAGCCCATGTAATCGATGCCGAGTATAATGTATGTAGTCTATGGAGGTCGCGACTGACTGACTGATGCAAATTGCAATACTTTGGCCATAGAATGGGACGAGCAAGCTGACATCTGCTTACGGACTCTACAAAACCACGAAAAGTTAAAATTGGTTATCTCCTGGCTCCCAGAAACGCGCGGTTTCACTCTTTGCGCAGACCTTGGCCCGACGTTCCACCTCGACACGCGGGTGCTCGATACGATCAATGCCATTTTCGTGAACCGAGTAATTCGCCCGCCCCCGGCGGAGTGCGACGCTAGAGCCCGTGTATAGCGGGCGCCCGGTCGCGAAGACAAAATAAAAAGGTGAACGCGCGCGCGCGCACAACGCGCAGACACGCGGCAGTCCACAGCGTAATGCAGACTTCAAGTATAAAGACTCCGTGCGTGCCTTTGTCATGCACAAAAAAAAAAGATCCCCCGTATAGCCTGTGACGGACTGTTGGGGCAAGTGCTGTTAGCGAGCACCTATGAAGGCCGGAACGGCACACAAGGGGGTGGGTGGCCAGCACCACGCCCGACCGCCTTTGTCTCCCCAGTGGCGATGTTTACACACCGCACCAGGTACTCATTTGAGGCTGGGTCGACCTAGGGGAGGCCCAGGACCGGCTCAGATAATCGTCACCGATTTTGGCCGTGCGCGGGAATCGAACTCGGGTGGACAGGTTCGTAGCGCATCGCTGTAACCACTACACACACACGTGCATCTCCTTTGGTGATCCACTGCTGGATCGAGGGCCTCTACAATGCCGTGTTGGTCGTGTCGCGGTGGGGAGGAGGAGGGGGGGGGGGGGTTATTTGACCATACTTCACCACGCTGGGCGGTGCTGGTTTTTGTTCAAGGTCGGGGAGCAAATTGGACGTGCGTGGATGGGAATGTAGAGTCACAAAAAGCATCATTGTCACACTATTATTGTTCTTAGACAGCGGGTGAATAGGCATGTCAACGATTTGTAGTGAATACAAGGTTGTGTGTGGCGATCGCCAGAAGCGGTACTTTATTTACTGTTACAGAGCGTTTTGCATTATTTACCAACAACAACAACTTCAAAATAAACGGAGTGCGTCGCGTCTCGGATGAACTGGAGGCAATCCAGGATGTACGAACGTGGTTTTAGCCCCCCGCCACCCCCCGTGTGACATTGCGGAGATGTATTGCCAACAGAGGCCGCACATTCTCCGTACACATCCTGTAAACAAAGCGCGTGCCTGCAGAATGTGCCGCGTGTGCGTGTGATGTGTTTTATTGCAATCGCCGTCCCCTGTACACGGTTATTCAGAGTTGTTGTTGTTGTAAGAGCTTCGTATCTTGAAATTTTGCAATTGCGAATAGTTTAATAAGCACCCCCTGCACGTTACGATAACGTTTTGTACACGTTGCACGCACGTGTGTATGTTACGCGCGCGCGTGGTGTGTGTGTGTGTGTGGGGAGCGGTGGCGCAGAGGTTAGCGCACCACCCTACGCACCCAGCCACCCGAGTTCA